TTTTTTTTTTTTTTTTTGCCAGTACCATGCTGATTTTATCACAGTAGCTTAGTAGTATAATTTCAAGTCATGGATTGTGATGCCTCTTACCTTGCCTTTTCTGCCTAGGGTTGCTTTTGCTATTCTAGGTCTCTTCTAGTTCCAGATGAATTTTATGAATGTTTTCACTAGATCTGTGAGGTATGCCAATGGTACTTTGATCAGGATTGCATTAAATCTGTATAACATTTTTGGGAGTAGGGCTATTTTCACAATGTTGGTTCTTCCTATCCATGAGCATGGAATATCTATTTTCTAAAATCCATTGATCTCTTTCTTCAGACTACTGTAACTTTCAATGTATAGATCTTTTTAACTCATTAGGTTTATTCCTAGGTTTTTTTTTATACTATTGTGAAAGGTTTGATTTCTGTAATTTTTCTCTCAGTGAGTTTGTTGTTTGTGTACATGAATTCTATTGATTCTTGTGTGTTAACTTTGTGCCCAGGCATGCTACTGAATTTGGTTATTAAATGTACAAGTCTCTTGGAGTTTTGGAGGTCTTTTATGTAGAGTATCATTTCATCTACAAATAATGTTAATTTTACTTCTTTCTTTCCTATCCTTATTCCCTTTAGTTCTCTCTCTTGTCTAATTGCTCTGGATAATGCTTCCAGAGCTATGTTGAAAAGGAGTGGTGAAAGTGGACATTCTTGTCTTGTTCCTGATTATAGTGTGAAAGCTTTCAATTTTTGTCCATTTAGTATGATGTTGGCTGTTGGTTTGTCGTATATGACATTTATCAGATTGAGATAAAGACTATCTACTCTGATTTTCTGTAGTTTTTTTTTATCATAAATGAGTGTTGGACTTTAACAAAATCTTTTTCACATCTATTGAGATGATCATGTGATTTTTGTCTTTAGCTCTGTTGATATGGTGTATTACATTTACTGATTTGTGTATATTGAACTATCCCTGCATGGCAGGGATGAATCCTACTTGGTCATGGTGTATAATCTTAATGACTTGCTGCACTCTGTTGGTATCTTATTAAGGATTTTTACATCTATATTCATTAGGGAGATTGCTATGTAGTTCTTTCTTATGTTTGTCTCTCTCTGGTCTTGGTACCAGGATAATACTTGCCTCCAGGAATGAGTTAGGGAGTACTGCTTTCCTTTCAACTTTATTAAGTTTGAGGAGTATTGGTGTTTAATCTTCTCTAAATTTCTTGTAGAATTCAGCTATGAATCCATCAGGAGCTGGGCTTTTCTTTGGTGGTAAGTTTTCATGTTTTCAATTTTATTAACTGATATTGGGTTATTCAGAATTTTTGATTCAGCTTTGGTAATTCATGTTTCTAGGAATCTGTCCATTTCTTGTTTTTTTCAATCCTATGAGAGTAAAGATTTTCAAAGTAGGTATTGATGATCCTCTCAATTTCCATATGATCTGTAGTGAGTTTACCCTTATCATTCCTTAATGAATGAATTTGAGTCTTTTCTTTTTTTTGAAAAGGTTGGCTGGGGTTTATCACTTTTATTTACTTTCTCAGAGAAGCAACTCTTTGATTCCTTAATTGTATTATTTTCTCGGTTTCCACTGTGCTAATTTCAGATCTGATCTTTATAATTTCCTCCTTTTTGGGCTTTACATGCTCTTCTTTTTCTAGAAGTTTGAGATGTATAATTAGGTTATTTGCACTCCTGTTTTCTTGATGTGAGAGAAAGTTCACCACTATAAATATCCCTCTGTAGACTATTTTCATTATAACCCACAGGTTCTGATGAGTTATATTTGCACTTTCATTTTATTGTAGACACTAATTTCATCTGTGATCCATTGGTTGTTCAGGAGGGTGTTATTTAATTTCCATGTGTTATGAAGTTTTTGGGGTTTCTTTTGTCAATAATTCTGAGTTTCATTGTACTACAGTCAGATAATATGCAGAGGATAATTTCAATTTCTTTGCTTCGACTTCGGCGTGTTCTATGGGCTAGTACATGGTCTACTTTAAAGACCATTCTGCATGCAGCTGACAAGAATGTATACTCTGATATTTTTGGGTTGAACACTGTAAAGATCTACTAAGTCCATTTGTTTACAAGTTTGGTTTAGTTCTGTTATTTCTTTGCTGAGTTTTGGTCTAGTTGATTTATCTCTTTGTGACAGTGGGGTGTTAAGGTCCCCTGTTATAACTGTGTTACTGCTTATTTGATTTTTCATGTCTACTAATATTTGCCACATATAATTGGGTGCTCCCATATTTGGTGAATATATATTCATGATTATTATGTCTTCCTCTTGAAGTTTCCCCCTAAGGAGTATGTAGTGACCTTTATCACTTTTGATAATTCTTGAAGTGCACATTGTGTGCAAATAGAATAGATACTCCTGTCTTTTTCTCGGTTTCTGCTGCCTGGAGTACTGTTTTCTATCCTTTGACTTTTAGTCTATGAATTTCCTTTTGAGCTAAGTGTGTTTCTTGTATACAGCATATTGTTGAATTTATTTCTTGGTCCACTCTGCCAGTCTTTCTTTTGATTGGTGAATTGAGGCCATTTATATAAATGGTAATAACTATCTCTTTCTAGAATATCCTTCAATACTCTTTGTATTGGTTAGGTGTTCATGCATTTCTTCAGCTATTCTTTGTCAAGTATCTTACTTCTCCACAAATTTTGAAAGATAATTTTGCAGGGTACATCAATCTGGGTTGAAAGTTGTTTTCTTTGAGGACCTGAAATATTTCACTCCTAGCTCTTCTTGATTTGATGGTTTGTGTTGAGAAATCTGCTGTGATTCTGATGGGTTTTCCTTTATAGATGATCTGTTTATTTTTCTAACAGCTTTTAATATTGTTCTTGTCCTCAATTTCCAAAACCTTGACTATAAATCTGGTTGTAGATTTACTTTGGTTATGGCTAATTGGAGTTCCATAGGCATTTTACTGTATGTCAGATTCTTTTTCCATGCTTGGGAAATTTTCTTCCCTTACTTCTGCAAATAGCTTTTTTTATATCATTTGTGTTGACTCTTGCATTTTTGTTGACATCAGTCTTATATTATTTTTCTTTCCATCATCTTGCAGCTGTTGAATTATTTCCTGGTTCCTTGTTATTTTAAGAGACCTTTCATGTTTGCTAGCTGCAGTCCTGTCTTCAAGGTCTGAATGTCTATCTTCAGTTTTGTTCAAACTATTTTATCAACTTTTAATGGAATTTTAAATTTACTGGATCTCTTTTTGAATCTATTTCAGGCATTCTAATTCTTTCCTAGATTGTTCATTCTAGGTCTCCATCATTTTCCTATGTCCCTCTGTTTTTAATTTATGTCTTTAGATATGCTGAGCAATTCTTTTTATGGTTGTCATTTCTTTTTTTACCTGAGAGATTATTTCTGATCTGATTTCCTCTATAGCTTCATGGAGTTGTTTTTTTACTTCAGTTTGTAACATTTCAGAAATATCAGGTGTGTGACTTCTAACTTTTATGTTGATGTCTCCTGGACTTGTCCCGGGTGTGAAAAGTATTTACATTCTTGATTGGAATGAGAAATCCATTATTCCCATTCCAGAAGATTAAGAAAGCAGCATATTGGGAGTAGTTACTTGAGAGCACGTTGAAGTTGAGTGCACAGAAATCCTTTTTGGGGATAATTTATTAAAGAATTGAATCTCACAGCTGGTGTAGACAGGTGACTACATGGATCAAATCAGTAAAACTTGTCAATCAGAACTGTACCATTAAAGGTCCTTAAAAAGATTCAAAGTATAATGCATGGATAAAGATCTGCATATTGGTTGACCTCTCTTCTTAAGTGTATTTTACAGGGCATTGAATGCAGACTTGAAATTCTGACATGCTTGCTAAACAAAGAATTCTGGTCTTTAGCACATATATTACAAATTAAGTCTGAAAGATGCAAAAAAAGAGTCCACAGATATGAAATGTAGCTATTAAAAATCTAATGAGATATTTTTATTTTGAAAGAGAAAGAAGCCAATGAAGACATTAGTACACTAAACTATGAGGTAGAAGGGGGAAGTGGAAAATGGCAAGTAGGGTTATGTTATTTGGATAATGTAGAATTCACTGGGAGAAGTTAATGGAGTGGGTTTGCTAGAAATCAGGTATTTGAGCTAAGCAATGAGATGTGCCCATGCTGAACCTCCTGTCCTTTCTGGAAAGGACATCGTAAGTGGGGAAATGAATTGCATTAGGAAATATATTGTACTTGCCTGACTTTGTGAAATTAAATCTTGCCACCACAGTGCAGATTCTATGCTGATCCTCTGATAATCTCAAAAACTGCATCCTTAACATTCTTTTCTCTGTCCTCTGTAAGTTTTTTACACTTGTAAGCACTTCATCATCTCAGGAAGCTGCAGGTACTGATAATATGGGAAATTATTTTATGAGCCTGGCAAAAATCCCTGTCATTTACTTTTAATATTTACTTTGAGGATATCAAAATACATGGTGATCAAATTCATCTTTCCTTCAGGAGTACTTTCTAATTCAGTTCATGACATCTATAATTGCATTACTTCTTCTAAATTCTAACTGAAAAAGATTACTGAAATTTGTGCCTTCAAAGTACTTCTAAGTGTGTACTGCTTATCAGCATAATAACTGCTGGAGGATGCACAAAACCTCGTGTCACCCACTACATTGTTCAATATAGTATATAACCACATACAATGGTTTCTGTGTTCTGGATGTCTAGTTACCCCATGTTTAGAACCCATGTTTTAGAACCTACATCCCAAGCTGATGGTATAAGGAGGTGGAGTTTCTGGGACTTACTTGAGTCATGGGTTAAGAGCCCTCAATAATGACATATAAACATATGAAAGAGAGGCCAAAGACACCTTGTACAACACCCTGCCTGTGACCATTTGGCTGGAAGTCATCATATGTAAACAATGTCTTCATTAGATATTTAATTTGCCAGTGCTTTGATACTACATTTCCTAGGCTTCACAACTGTGAAAAATAATTATTTCATAGAGTGAACAACTGTATGATATTTTGGTTACATCTACTACAGTGCATTAAGGTAAGGTCTATAAATATACTTTAGTGAATGGTATGGTATACCAACAGCCATAGTAGGATCAATAAAAAATTACATGCTTCCATTTGCTAATGCAACCTGATAGACGCACATGTCCTGATGCACATGTATACCTATTTCTTCTTCCTCACATAATCACTGCCTTGGGTAACCAATGGAAGTGTATGCAATGGATTGCTGCTTAAATTAGTCTGTGTCAATACATATAGTTGAAGCCTGTGACAAACATAAATGTTTACATGGAATTCAAAACTATAAAGAAACTTGCAGCATGAAGATTGGTTCCCAGAGTCTGAATGACATCTTTATATATTTTCAATACATCCGCTGATAAATCTTTAGGAAATGGAAAGAAGTATGAAATATCTCTATATATTTAAATATTAAGCTTTTAAATTATTACAGTTCATGTTCATCTTAGGAGCAGGCATATGTATTTAATATTTTGATTCTTATGATTTCCCTTCCCATCCTCTCTCAACATCCTCTGGCTCCAGATCCCCTACCTCCAGATCCCCTCTCTTTGGCTCCAGATCCCCTATCTCCAGACCCCCTATCTCCAATTCATTCTCATCATTATTCATATAATTATCATTATTTAGTTCATGTTTGTTATATATAAAGGCTGTATTCATTGTGAAGAGTTGGTACCTGACATCAAACCTTTTTTTTTCCTCTTCTTCCCATCTTTGGCCTCCTGATTCCCTCTCATTTGCCAACGAGCTATCTCTCTGCGTCCTGGTATATTTCCATGAAGAAATGAATGAAGAAAATATGGTATCTATACATAATAGAATACTACTTAGCCATAAAGAAGGATAAATTCAAGACACTTGTAGGAAAATGGATATATCTTGAACACATAATGTTAAGAGAATTAAATCAGATAAGCTTCAGTGCTTTTAAAATGTAGAAAGTTTTCTGAACATACATACATATAAAAACTTCTTGTCAAAATGGGATGAAATGAATTTGTGATGTCCTTTTCAAAATATATCCTCAAAAACTATTCCACATTTCCAAGTAACCAAGTATAAATTTTACTACAATACTGAATCCTTTCAGTTTAATAATATTCTATAACCTTCAGACGAACTAATACTGAATACTTCCAGAAATCAACACAGTAGAAACCAAATTACATTTGTAAAAATTGAAGGAGAAATTCTGTGGACATATCCTAAAACCACTGTCATATTATTTGCTAACTTTGTGTTCATTTCATTAAACAAAAAAAAACAAAATTATATATTGAGAGTGAATAGTACAATCTGTTGCTGTTTATATTATGAAATTACCACATTCTTCCTCAGTAGCATTTGCATCACCTAACAAAATTATCTTTTGCATATATAGAGAAAACACTAAAAACTACTTTTAGCAAATTGTGATGCGATATGGCACTGCATCAATCACTGCAGTCACTATGGGATCTATGCCACTTCCTACTCTACAAGGGAAACACTGTGCTTTCTCATTAACACCTCTCAACTTCCCCACCCACACATGTGGCAACCATCACTATGTTTCTGTAAAGTGGTCAAGTTTAAATGCTAAAAACAGTATGATCAAGCTTTCACTTATCTATCCATGGCATATCTCATGTAATGACCTCATTTGTCACAAATGAAGGTTTAGCTTTCTCTTATGACTCAGTACAATTTGATTGTATGAATTTTACTTTATCCAATAATTAAGGTGATGGCTTGCATGTAAAATGTCCCTTAAAGGCCACATACTGAAGACTTGGATGCAAATGTGCTTCTTTACTCTGAATTTAATATTATTAGGCACTTACCAAACTCTCCAGTGCATTAATCTATGAATATACTGGAAGACTGTCTCTGCATGTGTGCTTTGACACAGTGTATCTCATTCCTAACACAACTGTCTTGGTCTCTGTTACTGATTCTTAGCTTTCTCATATTTGGTATTTATACTAAATCTCATTTTCAGTTCATACATTTTCTTTCTGTTATGACAAGCGTGCAAAGCTTTCACACATTACTTACATAGGCTTTCTCTACAGTGGGAATTCTTTCATGGTTTTCAAGGTAAGTGAAAAAATGGGTTTTCCATATTTATTGTATACATATGGCTTCCCTCGTGAATTCTTTCATGAACTGGAATGCACTGAGAAAAATAAAACATTTCCCACATTGTTCACACATGTTCAGATTCTCTGTTCTATAAATTCTTTCAGGTAATATTACCTGTGTGCTCAAAGATTTTTGAATATTGCATATACAGAGGGGTTCTCTGCACTGTCCTTTCATATCACTGCAAGTCACTATATAATCAAAGTTAATTTCCTCTTTTAAGTTTTTAATGTCTATGATGATTACTAGAGTAACTGAAGCCTTTTACATATTGCTAACATACACAGGGTTTTAACACTGTGTGATTCCTTTCATGGTTTTGACAATTGTGTATTCTGAAAGCTTTCCCACATTACTTGAAAGCATAGGGTTTCTGCCACTGTGAGTCCTTCCATGTACTTGACAGTTGTGTTGAAAGTTTTCCCACATTACCTACATACATATGGGTTCTCCCCACTGTGGGTCCTTTCATGTATTTGACAATAACTGTGTGTTCTGAAAGCTTTCCCACATTTTTTACATACATAAGGTTTCTCCCCAGTGTGAGTCCTTTCATGTGCTTTACAATGACTGGGTGTCATGAAACCTTTCCCACATTGCTTACATACATAAGGTTTATCCCCAGTGTGGGCCCTTTCATGTCTTTGACAATAGATGCGAGTGCTGAAACCTTTCGCACAATATTTACATACATAGCGTTTCTCCCCTGTGTGAGTCCTTTCATGTTCTTGACAATGACTGTTTCTGGTGAAAGCTTTCCCACACTGCTTACATACATAGGGTTTTTCTCCACTGTGAGTCCTTTCATGACTTTTACATATACTGTGTTTGCTAAAAACTTTCCCACACTGCTTACATACATAAGGTTTCTCTCCAGTGTGAGTCATTTCATGTGCTTTACAATGACTAGGTGTCATGAAACCTTTCCCACATTGCTTACATGCATAAGGTTTTTCCCCAGTGTGGGTCCTTTCATGTCTTTGACAATAGATGCGAGTGCTGAAACCTTTTGCACAATACTTACATATATAGGGTTTCTCCCCATTGTGAGTCTTTTCATGTTCTTGACAATGACTGTTTCTGGTGAAAGCTTTCCCACACTGTTTACATACATAGGGTTTTTCGCCACTGTGAGTCCTTTCATGACTTTTACATATACTATGTTTGCTGAAACCTCTCCCACATTGCTTACATACATAAGGTTTCTCCCCATTGTGGGTATTTTCATGTATTAGACAGTAACTGTGTGTTCTGAAAGCTCTCCCACATTGCTTACATACATAAGGTTTCTCCCCAGTGTGGGTCCTTTCATGTGATTTACAATGACTAGGTGTCACGAAACCTTTCCCACATTGTTTACATACATATTGTTTCTCCCCAGTGTGGGTCCTTTCATGTCTTTGACAATAGATGCGAGCACTGAAACCTTTTCCACAATATTTACATACATAGGGTTTCTCCCCAGTGTGAGTTCTTTCATGTATTTTACAATAACTGTGTGTGCTGAAAGCTTTCCCACACTGCCTACATACATAGGGTTTTCCCCCACCGTGAGTCCTTTCATGACTTTTACGTGTATGATAAGTGCCAAAAGCTTTCCCACATTGCTTACATACATAAGGTTTCTCCCCAGTATGGGTACTTTCATGTATTAGACAGTAACTGTGTGTTCTGAAAGCTTTCCCACATTGCTTACATACATAAGGTTTCTCCCCAGTGTGAGTCATTTCATGTATTTTACAATGACTGGGTGTCATGAAACCTTTCCCACATTGCTTACATACATAAGGTTTCTCCTCAGTGTGAGTCCTTTCATGTCTTTTACATTCACTGTGTCTGGTGAAGGCTTTCCCACATTGCTTACATACATAGGGTTTCTCCCCACTGTGAGTCATTTCATGTGTTTGACAATAACTGTGGGTGGTGAAAGCTTTCCCACATTGCTTACATACATAAGGTTTCTCCCCATTGTGGGTCCTTTCATGTCTTTGACAATAAATGTGTGTGCTGAAAGCTTTCCCACATTGCTTACATACATAAGGTTTCTCCCCAGTGTGAATGCTTTCATGTGTTTGACAATAACTGTGTGTCCTGAAAGCTTTCCCACATTGCTTACATACATAAGGTTTCTCCCCAGTATGAATCCTTTCATGTATTTTACAATAACTGTGTCTGGTGAAAGCTTTCCCACATTGCTTACATACATAGCGTTTCTCCCCACTGTGAGTCCTTTCATGACTTTTACATATACTGTGGGTGCTGAAACCTTTTCCACATTGCTTACATACATAATGTTTCTCCCCACTGTGGTTCCTTTCATGTATTAGACAATAACTGTGTGTGGTGAAAGCTTTTCCACATTGCTTGCATACATAGGGTTTCTCCACAGTGTGAATTTGTTCGTGTCTTTGACAATATCTCTGTGTTCTGAAAGATTTTCCGCATTGTTTACATACGTAGGGTTTTCCCCCGGTGTGACTTCTTTCATGTTTACCAAATAAAGTGTTATTATTTAAAGATTTCCAACTGTGTTTATATATGTATGATTTTGTCCCAGTGAATCTTTCATGCTTGTGAATATTTTGATGAGAAGTCAAACTTTTGGCACGTTCTATACATATATAGGTATTCCCCTTACTGTGATTTCTTTCTTGAATTTGAATATAGTTGAGTGTACTAAAGGCTCTGAAATCCTGCTTATATACAAAGGCTTTCTCTTCATTGTTACTTCTTTTAGTGCAATCAGAATCAGATTTTCCACATTGCTGATATCCATATGGTTTTTCTTCAGGATTTGTCTTTGCATGTTTCTGCAAGGACTGAAATTCAGTGAAGGTTATCCCATGTCTGTTACAGTTAGACAGCTTCTGTCCAAATCCACACAGCTCATATGATTTAAGTCCAGTGTTATGTAGGATGGGCACAGTCGGTGATGAATGACCAATCAGAGCCTTTCCACATGCAAGGCTTTCACCTGGTTTTGTACCAAGCAGTTTCATGTATACATTTGTATCAGGAGTCATAAAAACCATTTCTCCAGGTTGATGCCATAATTTAGAGAGAGAGCATTTATCTATCTCTGCACTTCTGTCAAAGAAAACATAGTATTCATTTGGGAGTGGGGAAGAAGTGATATGTTTGCAATATATACTGATTACTACCAGTTTGAATAATTGCTACATATGCATACCATATGGGATTATTTTTCATACCCTTTTGGATAATATGACTATGACTACTGCTCATCCTTCCAGTGAGCCTCTTCAACATGTCCAAACGTCTGCCTCTTTCATTTCTGACATCTCTCCTTTATTTTACTTAATTCATAGTTTGTACTTTGCAAATAAAATACAAAACATGATATTGAACTCTCTGTGTTTATCTTATTGAATGTAATATCAGTTCCAGATCCATGGATATCTTGGCAAATGACATCATTTCATTCTCCTTCATGGCTGAATACCTTTCTGTTATATATACAAAATGCATCACTTTCAGTGCTGGAGACTGAACCTAGGATTTAGCACTGAGCTGTATTCTCAGAGTTATTTATCTTTTGAGACTGAGTCTCCTCAATCATTACATTGCCCAGGCTGAGCACGAATGTGCCACAGATATGCATGTGTCAGTGTAATATGATAACTTTAACTTTGGGGAATATACCCCATAGAAATACAGCTAGATAAAATAGAATTTCTATTTTTACTTTTTGAGCAATTTCTATACACATTACATAGATGTTATACTACAACAATGTTTCCAAAACATTAAGGGAAGGTGTCTTCTAATATTGGATTTGGAATATAAATAGACTAAATGCTTTTGAGGATTGCTTGAAAACAGCTATTATCCAAACAGGGTATTCATCTAGATTTTAAATAGTTCCTCAAGGTTACCAGTGCTTCAAATTGTGAATGTGTGTATCACATTTAAATACATATAGCATTATTTGCATAATTTGATAAAGTCTTTTCAAAATACATGTATATATAATGATACCATGCACTTATCTCTCTAACTAAACACAAAATTTTAAAAATATATAGCTATAATCAATGCCTAAGTACAATTTAATGTAAGTTTTATAATCTTAAGCACAGAAAATAATTTGTTTATTATTATCCATTACAATTTCAAAAATTCAATTGTCAGATTCTAGATATTAAACATATATGCATCTTTGGAGAAATTCTGTGATTAACAAAATTTGAACATGGCCTCATTTTGTTTGTTTTTTGATTTTTGAGACAAAGTCTTCCTATGTAGTTCAGTCAGGCCTTGAACTCATTATGTATTACAAGCTGGCCTCAAATTCCTAGCAATCCTCCTGCCTCAGTCACCCAAGTGGTGGGATTCCAGGCACATGCCACCATGCCTGGCTCTCTGTATTTTTTTTTTTTAACATGGCATTGTTTGTTTAGTATCTTTGGTTTTAATATTTCTGACCTTTAAGGAACATTCTTGTGGGTGGAAATTACCTTAGATTTTTCCTGAAATTTTTGTACTCATCTTCAATTTGCTGGTCATCCCAGTTTCCCCCTAAAGTGTAGAAAAAGAAATGTAATGAGTTACTACAATACAAAAAAATTATCAGCTTCCGATTAGATTCATGTGTAATGTGCCCATGTCTGGAAGATTCATGAAAATATGTGTACATTCAAAAAAAAGTAAACTGCATTGCTGAGCAAAAACCAACGCTCTCTGATTGCAAAAGTGAGAAAGAATATCTCCCTTACCTATTGCAGTCACATTTCTAAAGTTTTCCCACATCACATCTCTGTAGAGCTCCTTTTGGGATGGATCCAACAAAGCCCACTCCTCCATGGTGAAGTTCACAGCCACATCCTCAAACGTCACTGCCTTCTAAATCATCAGAAATATATTTCCAGGAAGAAGAGTGAGACTCACAACACAAAATATCTCAAATCTACTCATAAGAAACTGAAATGAGGCTGAGTCCCACAAATGCTTACTTCATGCCTTGGACATCAAACACTTATTCTTTATCCACATGCACTTGTCACACAGGAATTTTGATGCTAGATGGGAATTCACTGATAATAACCCAGCACAATGGGCATACTAGTTCTCCTGCTAGTTAACCCCAGTTTTATTTCTACACTGTCTGTAAAGCAGGTTCATGGAGAGGGCCTACTAGATCAGATGTGGGGTATGAAGACCTGGGTTAGATGTACATCTAATGACTTGCTCTGACAGAACACAGAAAATATATCTATTTTCAAGTTATTATTTAGGAAATACATGCTTTCTTCCTCTGATTGTATTTAGACACCATTATGAAACCTGAAACTGCTTTCATAGACAAAACTGTAAATAGGTACAAAGTAAAATTCATGAATGGTAATTTAAAATGCTAATGAAAAGAACTACAGTATTCATTGGAGAATGTGTAACAAAATTAGACTAAGGAAGACGTATTATCTTACAGCTTGTATAAAAATGTCTGTGATATAAGAGAAAGGGAAATGTGGGGATGGACCAACCAAGTGAGCAACATGCCTCTAGTCATAGGTTGGGGCTATGCATCCGGTCCAGGGAAGATGATGAGATAAGTATCTGCTCCCAGTCACATACTGTGGCCCAAACACCCAGCCCAGGGAGAACCCCACAGCAGACCAGTCAGTCTGAAATTGACAAATGAAAAATTATATAGAAGTATTCAAGGAGACTCCCAGAAAAGACAAGAAAAGACCAGCCAGCAGCTACTGAACAACACTAAAGACACCAACCTAAGGCTAGTTGGAGTTACAGAGAAATTAGAACATAGATGGAATTAATATGTTTACGGAAATTATAATAGGAAAATTCAAAAAGTTGGGAAGAGTCAAAAATAGAAGTGAGGATGAGAGAACACCAAAAAACTATGAAAAAAGAAACTGACCAAGGCATGTCCTTATCATATTGCCAGATATCCAAAAACTACAACAAAAATTTGAAGCAGAGAAAGCACAAAATCACCTATAAAGGTAAACCAATTAGAATTATAACAGACTTAACATAATCCTTAAAGGACAGAAGAGCTTGGAGTTATGTATTTCAAGCCCTAACAGGGAGTAAGTTCAACCCATTGAACTTGCCCAGCAAAACTCTCTTTCCAAATAGATGGAGAAATAAAGACATTTTATGAAAAGACCAGTTCAAGAGACATATGAATGCTCAACCAGTACTTCAAAAAATACTCAACAATATCCTTCACAGAAACACTGAAGCCAATAACTTATGACACATCTTTTTTTTTTTTTTTTTTTTTTTTTTTTTACAATTCTACACATATTATATGTGCTGCTGAAGCGAGCACTACAATTCTACACATATTGATAGAGCCTCAAAGTCCTATTTCAGAGAAATGGACTGGAATTTTCAAACATTCATTTGTGACCTGTACTATTATTCTTTGGATTTTTAGACATATTTATGTTAAATGTAAATATTTTACTTCTCAATTATTTTTTGCTTATTTAGATGTAACTATTCTCTCTGCTCAGCTTCCAAGGAAATTACAATCTTTGGGAGTTAAATCATGAAAATATATCCTTGCAGTAATTTCCTTTTTATACAAAAAACTTCTTGCAAAAAAAGCAAGAGGAAAGCAGGACAGGGAATAAACTAGCTTCACCAGTTTGCAAAGGAACTCAGCCTGAGAAGGTTAAACAGTTTCGTGAGATTACAAATGACTTTCACTGTGCCCATGTGGCCCAGGGTGACTCACTCTCAGGTGGTGATCAAGAGGAACATGAGAAGCCAGAAACTTTATTTTTTTTTCCAAAATAAGAAGGAACGTCCACAATTTTATTGTACATAAATTGTGACTATTTAAACTGGGATGTTTATTCTTTTTTTTTATGAGTACATGTTTGCCATACATAATGATCACATTCATCATGGGGAATTTGTACCTGTACACAATATATCTTAATTCCCTTTTCCCCATCCCCCTCCACTCCCTTTAACCATCTTTGCCTCTGTACTTACAAATGCTTCATTTCTATTTTTTCTTCAATTCTCTTTTTTAAAACCCCTTTTCCTATCCTCCCCTCCACTTCCCCCCTCCCTTGTTCCTCTTCTCATTTGAACAAGCTCTCCTACTTCCCAATACAGTCGTCCCTCACTATATTGTGGCTCGCTTGTTGCGGCTTCACTATATCATGGGTTTTACAAATATACATATCTAATTCTGTATCACTAAGTTTTTGCTATATCACAGGGTTTTGCAGTATACAGATATTTATATAATATTTATGATTTTAATTATTTTTGCCTAAAAAATTTAAAATATAAAAATATTAATTCAAACAT